ATATTAAAGCGAAAATACAAAAAGTTAGTCTCCCTATCGACTTGGGTGTCGATTTCTAATGCATTTACATAATGCATGTGCTTCTTCCGCCATTGCTCTGGATTCGTATGGTGTAGTCGCTCCGTTTTATGTTTGTCTCATAATTTCTGACGCAGTCCTGATTTGCGTTAGGCTGCTGCTCTCCAGAAGCACACATCTGTTCCGAGGAAGTCTTATGGGTTATTCCATTTCTTGAGTTCCAGCGTCATTGTCCATACGTCTGCTCGTCTCTCAGAACGAAATGTGACGAAAGACTCCCTTAGACTCGAACCAATGAATTTCTGCCTGTTAGTCCGGTGCTACACTTGTCTAGTGAGCCTCGCCTTCAGTGCGAAACAAACACAACCAGATTGCTGAAAACCTTAAAACCTACGTAAATAAGGTTTCTTTAGACATGAGAGCTTGTGGGAGCTCATGTGGAAAGATACATCAGAAATATGTTAATCATGTTTAAATTTACGATTTACTTCCAGCGCTGATTTTCAGGCAGCTGTTGGGTTGGTCAAGGCGAATAGCAACCACAAGATGCAAGCATCTAAGTGGATGAAGCCTATGAGGGTATCCCGAGCAATTAGTTATAGAGGGGCATGCAAACATATGAGACTGATGCATGTCAAGGCTGCGTTGCTTTCCTCTCACCTGTTTGTGCTGTGCATCGATAGAATCAGCAAGTTTGAGTAGAGTGATGAGTGACTTAGCGTAGGAGATGTGGACACGTGACGCTTGTAGTCGGCCTTGCGTTGTTGACATTTTCTGAAAATGATCTCCAGCACTCCCCCATGAAAATATAATCATAGCCAAGTGAGACAAAACTGGTATACGCGCAAACCTGCTAAAAATACGTTTCATCGTTCCCATTTTTCATGTTCGTTTCTCGTTTCAGATAAAGGAAGACGGTGTGGAACAGGTTGTGAAGATCACTTTCCTCAAGGTGGTGTTTGCTGGTCTATGAAAGGAAGAAATCTACCTCCAAATTAAAATGATAAGCGGTGTTCTGAGTGAACTATTCCGAAGCACTGTAACTACAGCAGAACTGAGTCTTAAAACCACGCTCTCGGACGAAATGCTATGCTCAACTCATGTATTTCGACATGGTCCGGAGTTAGGTATCCGAGAGGGCCTTGGCATGCAGCTGCTGCTTCTACAGACTGAGAAGACACAGCTGAGATGGTCTGAGCACTTCCTGCAAACGCGGGACAGAAAGGCGAAATACTTACCCCTTGCCCAACCGACTAGCTGCCTACACCGATGACTGCCAAGAATAACCTGGGACAATTGTATAGAAAAAATCTGCTGCAGATTTCGCACATCTTCTGTTGAGTTTCAAACGCCATAGAGAATTGGGTAGGTTGGTGTCTGCCTCGGCGTCTAAATTAATAAACATTCATCGAGACAGACAGATTGGGAAAATGACTGCTTCATGACTACCTCGTTCAATATTGTGACTGTGTCCTTAGCTTCTTTGAAAATCGAATTTTCTTGGCATCGGGAAAAAGTGTTTCTGCTTTCTTCCAGCTTTATTCACCCTGAGCCAATCAGAAACTTGCGTTGTTTTCATGCTCGTTTCGAAGTGGGGTGGGAGGGGGCAACTTTACAAAGTCTTTATTTCTGCAGGTCGTTAGCTACCTTGATACAAGACTGCTAAAAATATTTCTGGTTGATCTTAATGGTCGTATCGTCCTGCATTCGTTCGAATTTCTTGCACCACTTTACGCTGAAGAACGCCCGTGAGACACTGGTCAGATCATCGGTGTTATTGAAACGCTCGAGT